TAAGGCTTATAGCCTTCTAAGAATTTTTAGTATACATAAATCTTTTTAGGCTTATAGCTTTCTAATATTTTTTTAGTGTACATGTACCTTTTGAGGCTTATAGCCCTATGAGATTTTTTAAGTGTACATGTACTTTGTGAGGCATATAGGCCTTAGAAGTTATTTTAATGAAAATATAACTTTTGAGGTTTATATCCCTTTAAGGTGTTTTGGTCACATATACCTTTTGAGGATTATATATCTGTGAGTTTTTTTTTAGTGGAGACTATGCTAACAACTTGCTCTCATAGATTCAATCTAGTGGTGACCATGTTCACAATTAGCTTCTTGTCAAGGGTACCTCATATGCATGCCTTCTACGGGTACGAGTGGAGATCTTATCTGACACTTACCCTCAAAGGGTTTTTCTAATGAGGATTGCATCCACCACTATCTTTCCATTGATGATACTTCATTGATATGTCTTCAACAGGTATAAGTGGAGACTGTGTCTATCAGATATCTTATAGAAGCCTTTCTATAGACTATACAAATTATTAAAATGTTCATTAATAATAATAATAATAATAATAATAATAATAATAATAATAATAATAATAATAATAATAATAATAATAATAATAATAATAATAATAATAATAATAATAATAATAATAATAATAATAATAATAATAATAATAATAATAATAATAATAAGTTACTTAAATGATATTATTTTTTAATAATAAAAAATAGAGAAATTATTCTAAAAAATAAATTAGAAAGTTTTTTTAATATGATCTTTCAACATATGAGAGCAAATAGTCTTTTGTAGAGAAAAAATAGGTTATAGTTGTACTTCTTATTCAATAATTTTGATAATTTTCTTTCCATGATTCTTCTGGTATTCTCTACACCACTCATGTAAATAATGTCCCAAGTGATATTGGCATATCAAACATTTAATTTTCTTAAGTTACTACATCTTTTGTTGAATGTTATTTGAACGATAGAAATGACAATATTGAGATTGGTACCCATTATATAGATTATTCAGTGGCTTTGGGCGCTTGAGTTATTTAAAATTTGAATTTCCATTAATAGATTATTTTTAAATGTGTTTTGTTTAGTCTTATTAGATGTCTTAAATTTAATCTGATGAAATAATAGTTTCATATGTTGAATTTAATAGAAATTTCTCCAAGAGTGTGATTTTGTTTGCTAAAAGATTTTTTTCTAATTATATTTGATATGCATTAATAACAACATCAACAGTAATTTGAGCCTCAACATGATGCATGAGGTCAGTATAAGAGTGAACTGTCTCACACATTAATGATGAGTAGAAAGGCCCAGAACGTAACACTCTTAAGAAGACGCCCCTTGATAACTTTAGATCTACTCCTAAAATTTGACAAACATTAATAGAAAATCTTTGAAGTTATATTTTTAACTAAATATTCTTCATTTTAATGAATTCTATAAAGATGTAAGGAGACTTTGATAATCCTTTGATTTGATATAAATTGTTCCCCAAAGAGTCTTACAATTGCATCGAAGCTATAAATAGTTACACTTGGAAGGCAATAAAATCAAGTAAGGACCTAACCTTTAAAGGTTGTAAGAAAAATTAAGAGAGGAGTGCGTTAATTGTTTGTTTTATATGCATATAGTTCTATAATAATAAATGAGTTCTTGTGGGTTTGATGTACCATCATAGGAGTCAATGCTTGTCATTTTGAATCCTATTGAAATTGGGTGTTGATGGATTCTATTAGTCAAAAGCAAAGATTCCTGGAAACTTTAACGAGTGGATAAAAGACTTTTTTCACTTAAAGAGAGTTCTTCTTAAACTATATGTTGTAGCTCAACATGAATTATTTGATGAGGTTGAGTTAAATTCTCCAAGAGTGTTGGAGGTTTGCAACTGATGTGGTTGTATGAGATAGATGGCTGAAACTAGAAATATCATGGAGGTCAACTTCTTGAACTGAATGAGAAAGAACTCCAGCATGACGAGGGGCTACCTGTGGAGACTTCTTTACCTGGGGTCACTAATTGGTGGTTGATCATGGAGTAGACGAACCTCACACATTTGGAAAATGTTGGGTATCAAGCTTCACGTAGAAACTAAAAAATATCATTTTGAGATTCCTCCATTCTTTGTATGTGGACTTCTAGGGATAAAGAACATGCATCTTCACTAACATGGAAAGGTGCATCAACGGAAAGAGTATAGAGGCTTGTCATCCCTGAGTATGAGATTGTTCCTTGGAATGTTTCATATTGGAGTGGGACGTTTCATTATTATGAGTATTACACTTCTTAGCCATTGATAGAGTGCTCACACTTCTATAAAGGTAAGATTTTGTTTCCTAAAGATCATGCCAAACTAGTGTGTGTCAAAAAATTTACAATAGTAGAGTGATAATTTAACATTATAGTATTGCACGGAGATCCAACACACACAAATAAATGAAAAGTAACAACAAGAGACAATAAGGTTTTTTACGTGAAAAAAACTCAAAAAGATAATAAACCATTGGGCCTAATCTAGTCGTAGTAATCTACTATACGTGTGTAATTACAATGGTACACCTTTCTTTCATAACAGGGCGAACGAGGTTAAACTATACTTGTCAAAGGATATAAGTGTTAGGAAATTCAATAACAGGCATTTTCTGGCTACAATGATTGCCATTTTGGTCACCAATGATCGATGGTCAGCGACAACAAACAGTGGTTAGATGCTATAAAAATTGATGGTCAATAGCGGTTGAGTATTGCTAAGGCGACAGTTGGGCTGAAGCCTTCTCTCAACTTGATGGATCTTGGTCATTGGCTCGGACGACCTGCATTCGATCGGTTTCGAATCTTTATCAAAGGTATTCGCACTTGATCAATCAAGCCCTTCGATCTTCCGATGATACGACTTTTAGCCTTCATTATGTTGGTCATACCTGGCCTCACTTTAATAGCTCTTAGTCAATTGAATTTTCTCAAAATTCGTGTTGACGCATTTCTAATGTATATAATCATATATATTTTATTATTGTAAGCATTATAAATGTGTATCCTATAAATCAATAACACTAGTTCAATAGTTTCTTCGATCGTTCATACAACGAAGAAGTAATTTTGAAGATGAACCGCCATGCTGAGATCAATTCAAGAAATTCATCAAGTTTTTAATTTTGCTGTTCTCATTTTCCCCTTGTCAGTTTATGGATTGACGCAACTCGTGTTTCAATTTGGCTAATTTAACATAGGACGGTGCCTAAACATACTTTATTAATCATCTGGTATTTATCAGCTGAATATGACTTTATGCTAATCCAAACTTATTTTATTGCTTAAAATTGAAAGTTTCTAAAAAAATAATATAAATCTATTAAAGCTGAAATTTTGATTACTTCAAACGCTTTGATTTTCTCTGCAGCTGAATCAAAGATGAGATTTATACTATTTAAGTATATATGGATATTTTAATCTTTTGTATGAAAAATTAGCAAAAGCAAATAGTTTTGCCAAACGAAAAGCAAGATTTTCTAATTTATGGTCCGTTTGGGGCAGCAGTGCAGCATCGCAGCGCAGTTTTATTTGTTTGGAAAAACTACGTTTCGACAATTTTTGTTTAAAAAAAAAGCTGCCGCTGCAATGTGTGTTTTCCCTAAACTCCCAGTAGCAGCTTTCTAGCTACGGTCTGACTTAAAAAAAAATTATAATAATCATGATAATTTTTTAAACATCAGAAAAAAAAAGCTGCCGCTGCAATGTGTGTTTTCCCTTAACCCCCGATAGTAGCTTTCTAGTTGCGGTCTGACTTAAAAAAAAAAAATTTATAATGATCATGATAATTTTTTGAACATCAGATTATTATTCAATAGCTTCACAAATATTTTTGCAAACACACTATAAGAAAACAGCACTTTAAAACAAAGGATTCTCAAAGGTAAATTTTAAACAATTTTTTATAGAAGTAAACGGTCAATCTAAAGGGGCCTCAATTTAAGCATAAAGTCAGAAAAAAAGTACAGCATAGGAATAAAAATAAAATTTCTACATAGTTTATTATGAATGTCGCCTGAGGCAGCTTACCAACCCTCCAGAAATTAATGATTTTGTGGTTTCCGACGGACGAGTCCATTGATGCCGTTCATTCATTTCAGTGTTTTTATTGGGTATTTCGACCATCAGATAAGCTCATGGAAATCCAATTACTTTTCTTTTTTCCTTTGGGAATTTCAGCAAAAAAAACTTTTTAGCATTTTGCCTTTTATTTTACCACTTATCTTAATTAGGAGTGTAACAAGCCGAACACCAGCGAGTCTAGACTCTAGCTCGTTTATATTTCAAACTTAAAAAGTGTGTTTCTATTCGACTCTTTTGCTTAGCGAGCCAAATATGAGCTGTTTACGAACAAAAAGTAGTTTTGAAAACCCTAATCATGTAGCCATAAGATGTTAAGGATTGGGGCAAGATTTAAAACATCATTTGAATTTAATTTGATAATTTTTATTTATTTTCTTAATTAATACTTTTAATTGATTATAACTCATTGTAGCCTTACAATCAATCAATTTTTTTACAAATACTACTCGTCAAAGAAATATATATATAATTAATTAGTAGTATTTCGAACCAAAACGAGCCGAACACGAACAACTTGTTCGTGTTTGGCTCTTTAACTTAGCTAACACGCCAAATACGAGCTTCTTAACGAGCCAAACACGAGCTATTCACGAATAACGAGCCGTTTTGACAGCCCTAATCATAATAATGATGAAGGGCTGTTCACGAATAACGAGCCGTTTTGACAGCCCTAATCGTAATAATGATGAAGAAATAATGATGAAGGATTTAGGATTATTATAAAATGTTTACGATATTAGCGAATATCAATTCAGGTTTGTAAGCTGAATTTGGGTCTGACTCAACATTAACCCAATTCGAAACTTTACACAAAACCAAACTGAATTTTAAATTAGTTCAAAAATCTAAAAAGAATATAACTAGCGCGCCCATTTAACATTCGCAAAACAACCATTTAGGTCAAATTCGAGACTAATTTAGTATAATTTCATTTTAAATGGTCAATATTGTGTCGATTTTGCATTGATAAGACTTCCAACGGCCACAACTCAGCTAGCAGATTAAAACATGCATTTGCTGTCAAAAATCTAAAAAGAAGCAGAATTCTCTGAGATCATCAAGAGATGGCATCTCCAATATTACAACTCCAACCCCTGCAAAAAGTTACAGTGATTGCTTTCAGAAACCTTGAGATTTGAAGACTTTAGCAAGAAGAAAGAGCATAAAACATCAAACCAAGTTTTAGAAATCAACACAACAAATGATTATAAATTAAAGTCTTCATCGATTAGAGGTATGTGATGGATAAGTCCGCAGTACTTGCCATTTCTATTAATAATAGAAATTACATAGTATTTTTTTATCTAAAGGTAACTATTCCATCATTTTTTTGGAAGATATACATATATACCACTCAATTCCTATGTATTTACATATCTAACACCTAAACTCTAATTTTTACATACATGCTACCTTAACCATACATGAAAAGGTGCATTTCACTTTGTAAAAGTTAAAATAGTGGTATTTTTATAATACATAAAAGATTTGGGTGGGATAGATGTAAAAAGTAAAGTTGATGTGTTAGATATGTAAATACATAAGAATTGGGTGGAATGTATGTAAATACCCCCCCTATTTTGTGGGCACACCCCATGTATTTAATCTTGGTTGGAAGCCTAAGCTCTCAACAAATAGACTTAAGGTGGCCAACATGTATTCCACCATTCTTTATAAAAAAAAATGACAAATATCATAAATAAACAGTTTATAAAACTTTGTTTCAAAAAAGAACAGAGGAACTAAAGACAAACCTGGGAAGCCTGAAACCATCTTCCACAGATCCAATCATGATGAGGCCGCAGGTCTTCACACCTGAATTCCATCTCTTGGCCCCAAGTCCTGAAGTAAACAGTGTACCTTGAATCATCAATAACATTAGAGATAACTCCAATCCACCATCCATCGTTGTAATAAGCGTCAACTTCTTCAAGATGCCTGAATTTTCCTGGTGCTGGAATGGTAGGAGGTGCAGGCCTGATGTGCAGAGAATCAACAGTTTCTTTTAATGGCACAGTCTCATCATCGGTTGTTAAATCTCTGTACTCCACAAGGAACTTATTGCTAACTGATTTGACAACTGTGGCTGGGAACCAGGCTCCATGAAAACCTTCAATATCACTGCTAACCTCCACAGATGTTCCCTTTTCAAAGATCTTTTCTGGCATATCCTGAATGAATGTTTAAAACTAAGACAAAAAAAGGTAGATGTATATACACATATATCGGTAACCTTATCTATGCATAAAAAGGTGTATTTCGCTTTTGAAAAGTTAAAATAGTGATATGGTTTATGTAATATGAAAGATTTGTGTAGTATAAATGTAAAAAGAAAAACTTAGGTGTTAGACATGTAAATACATAAGAATTCGGTGGATTGTATGTAAATACATCCAAAAAATAAAAGCTTAAAAGACATAAAAAATGCATACCCGTATGACTGAAGCTCTAAAAATGGAGCTGTAAACAGATAAATGTAATCCTAATTCTATCAATAAGATAACTAGAATCGTGCCGAACCAATTAGGTGAAGATTCTGCTAGATTTCGAAATCTGCAGGAAAGATTTGTAGAAAAATGTACATGTATACCGATTATAGAGTAATGAGCTTTAATTATGATACTTCATGCATGTTTGATCTTCTAATCTACCAAGGAATCAGTAATGAATATAAATAAAACATGCTTGACTTATGAATCTGCATATTTGGACAGGAAAAAAAATGTCATATGCACAAAAATAGATCATGCAAACAATGATTCAGCATCAAGGTTTTTATCACTTAACAAAAATTAAAATTTAAGGTTTCAAAGTTAAATGCAGAGCAACAATTAAACCAATTTAAACTAAAAATCAAAGCTATATATGATGTGTCAACGGATATACGATAAGTATGTGATTATAAGTCATAAAGCAGGAAGAAGCAACGCCTATTTTGTTCTTAAAATTAGGCTTACGTAACAAATAGATGTTTCTGAGTTCGAAGCAAGGGGCGTTGAAAACCCCAAAGCACTGTAACAACCGAGGAAGATGACATAACTAAGTCATCTTTAAATATATTGTTTATTCTCACAGCTAAAAGACCAAATGATTAATTAAGATTTTCATATAATTTTTAGTAGGACAGATATGCTTATTAATTTGAATATCCATTATTCAATATTATATACAGGTTAAGAAAAATGCCTAGAATCCATGAGAGAAAAAAATAGTTACACAAGGAAATGCATGGTCAAGTTGAGGTAGTTATTTGCTTTGCCATAAGATCTATACTCCACGTGGAAAAATAAGAAGACAGGAATGAAATGTTATCTTCCAACATCATCTTCCTCTTGGCCATCTTCAAACCAAGGAAGACAGGTAAGATCTATGCCTCAGTTACATTCATAACTAAAAAGAAGAAGAAGAGACAATGTTTACAAATATATAGACAAACATCAAAATTGTGTCAAGATGGAACAAAATAGGCCTCTTTGTGCCGTAGAATCAATTTATTGCATGAACAAGAACAAAGAAAATAAATCATCCAATGCTTACAAACAAATCTGTAAACTTTATCCTCATACATGCCAAAATTTAGTGACTCTCTTCTTTAAAAAATATTTGTTACCAAGAGAATCTAATCTACAATAATTAAGTCAATTTCAAGATATAAAAGCTAATCTTAGAAACCCAGAAAAATCACGAATGATTATCCTAAGACCATCATTAGAAATTAAATTTCAAAAGAAATAATTCTAGTTTATGAGTTGTTTGGTTGACTGCATTTGCAAGCACGTAAAATAAATCCCAACAAGCAATTTTGTGCGTAAATAAACTAGAGAGTAGATTAATCGTACATATAAAACTTCAATCTCAAATAAAATACAAAATATTTACTCTGCATACGAACATTATACATCAAAATTTTTAAGATAAACTACCGCAAAATATGGAGCCAAATGAAAGTCTTTCGGTAAAAGCCAGAGTACATAAATGTAGGCTTCGTTTGATTTAGTTTTTTTCTTTTAAAAGAGTCAATTAAAAAGCTGTTTCAAAAAAAACAAATTTTTAAAGTTTAATAAGAATATCGTACCGAAATATCAAGAAAATGGAGATTTTCAAAAGCATTTTAAAAAAAGCACAACCAAATAGTTATCAAACGAATAAATACTTTTTTTTCTGAAACTGAAAGCAGTATGGAAGTTTAATAAACAAGCTTGTAGTTAGGGGTGTCAACTCAAGTTAGAAGGTCAGTTCGGGTCCGACTCGAAACTAACCCGACCAGAAACCCGAATATTATACGGGTTGACAATCTCAACCCGCCTTCATCCCGCCGACCTGAACCCGACTTTATAACCTGTTTAACATAAAGAATAACAACTATTCGGGTTTAAATGAGGATAGATCCGAGTTCCAATCAATTTAGGCTTGGTGGATCATTTTCAGGTTGGTGGTTCAACCCAAACTGGACGCTAAAAATTAAACGGGTTAGGACAAACCCAGAAAATTATTCTAGTCAGCCCAAACCTGGATTTGTCAAATCAGGTTCAGATTGAGTTGCCACATTGGCTAAATTTCACAACCAATCAAGTCTTGTGCATTTCACAACGATGGCAAGCACCAACATTAACACAAGAAGAATACAGCAAGGTCGGAATTTAAGGGTATTGTACAAAAGATTAAGTGGATTTCAATGCATATCACTTGATACTCATATTTATATATCGAACACAGCAAGTTTTATAAAATATAAAAGGGAATTCACGTATTCCTATATTATTACATATTTAGCACCTAAACTTTCATATTTATATGCATAAAACATAAATTTTCAATATAAAAGCAAAAATACCACTATAAATAATATTTGAAAAGTGAAATCCATTTTTTCAGGTTTATAACGTCAGAGTATTATAAATGTATGTATGAAAGTTTAATTTTAAGGCATGTAAATAGATAAGAATTGAAGGGTATATATGTAAATTTTCCAAGAATAAATCAAAATAACCTTGTTAATAATCCCTAGCATTTCTATCTGCCTTGTCAATTCCAACGTTTACCACCGTTCACTACAACGCCAGTCAATTGGGCTCTCTTCCAGCGCCTGCACAATGTGTGCTTGATCAGCACAGTTACCTTCTACAACTGCAAACTTTTGAATTCTCCTGAGAAGAGTTAGAGGAGAGAAATTTGAAGAAGAGAACAAAGGAAAGTAATTTTGTTACCGTGATTGATATTACATCAAGCTAGGTTATATAGAGCCTGGAGCGGCACACTTGTACTTATAGAAGAGGCTAAAAAGGTAAAGTTACAATATATGATACCTAATCTATATATATCTATATATATATCTATATAT